ACTCCCCCTCAAGTTGAGCTGTATAGAAGGTCTCAAATGGGAAAACCAATCCTGAAAATGGATTCAGAACGAAAAATTGAGTGGTTATGTGACGTGAGCTGTCGAACTCACTCAAATTAATCAGGTTTGTAAAAATAAATATTTGTAATAAAGTGGGAAACCTGAATCGTATCTCAAGATATTTGCAAGGATCTTAATCGACCAATTAAAAACAAGAAGTAAAAGAGGGGTTTGTGTGATTAAAAATAGAAAGTAAAAACAAGGATTTAAAAACTGACAGAGCAATTATGGGATAATTGACCTCTAGGGAAGTTTCTCAGGAAGTAGGTGAGTGAGGACAAAGCACGCTGAGAAGTCTAGTGTTGGTTTGTAGGTTCAGTCATTGATCCTACAAGCGGTCAGGCATTACAAGTAGCATCAGAGCAAAGCCTTTCTCCTAATACGGTGTGGTTCGAGGACGAATCAGGCAGAAGCTGGTGGGTATGTAATATCCTGAGCGCTGACGAAGGCAAAGGGTAGATATTCCTTCGGCACGTGAGTCGGGTTGTACCACCAGTCCAGATAATGCCCATTGTCTGGAGTCCATCTCGCTAAGGTAGGAGGGGTTGTCACAATGAAAAATGCTCTTGGTAGGCTTCTAGTGGGAGGGGTACATGAAAGAATCGAATCAACACCCGAACGAGAGGGATTCAGAGACTGTGCACGTATAAGATTGTGCAGTTGAGGATAACTTAAAGGAATTAATAGTACTACCTATACTAACAAGATGAATCTACTTTTCGGTAGCTCATAACTTAAGAACTCCATAGTTAAGCATGCTTGACTTGGAGCAATGTTGAGATGGATGACCTCCTGAAAAGTTTCTCAAGAAGTGTGTGGGTGAGGACAAAGCCCGCTGAGAAGTCTAATGTTAGTTTGTGGGAACAATCATTGATCCTACAAGCGGCCAGGCATCACAAGACCAAATGATTCAACCTTTTTTATTAAGTTTGGCAAAAAACATACATGGTTGTATTTTGCAAACTCAAACATGAAACGTCACACTAAAACAACTCCAGAAACGCACACAAAAATATAAGACAACAACATAGTTCTAAGAATATCAAAAGGAAGATGTTACAGATGCTTTTTTTGCAACCAAATCATAATGGTAAAAGATTCATTAGTGCACTTATGACCACACATCAACAACCGCTTATTGGTACCACCTTTAGTATTCCAATAGAGGAGATAGTACAACCCGCCTTGTTCCTTAGCAACTCCAATTGTCCTCAGTGTGGTGAGATCCTAAATGACATTACGTAGAAAAGAATGTCTCGAAAAATTCTATGAGTGGAAATAAAATTGGTGGAGTTTGTGCATATAAAGCAAATTTTTCAGGCATAAGAAGGTTTAGAGTTGAATCTTACCAGAACTCACAACTAACATATGAGATCCATCAGCTATGGTTATAGTATGAGCACTAGAGGTGGGTTGATGATTGGCCCTTGGAACCTTTTAGGAAAGTCTGCCAAGGTAAAAGGAAGGCCCAACAAGGGAATAAAGCTACTAACATCAGTAAGGCAATTCTGTGAGAAGGAGGGGAGTTGTTAGAAAAGATGAGACTTAGCAAGCTATAAAGAGAGAAGGTGTTTTGGAATACGTGAAGAGGGGAGTGGATATAACGTGTGGAAGTTGAGGGAAAAAGGCATGCATTCTGTGAATATTGAGAATAGACGTTAGGAATGGGGATTCTCAACAAATGGGTGTAAGGAGACTCAGGGAGTGAGGTTTACGTGCTAGTTCTGTCATTTGTGTCTTAATTTCGTTGAGTATTTTATGTTAAGAACCTTGTATTGATTGGTAATATTGTCTCTGGAAATATACACCAGATGTGAAGTACCATTCTTGTTGGATTTTGATTGTCTTTAGTTTTTTTTTTTTTTTTTTCGAATTAAAAAATTAGTGCCATCAATTTGGTATCAAAGCTTTCTAGTTTCCTAGGAGCTTATGGTCTAGACGAGTATTGGAAAACAAATTAGAAAGTGTTGAGTTGCGTACAGAATGTCTAGAGAACAGATTAGGGGGTGTAGAAGAATTTGTATGTCAACTGCGAGAGATGATTTTGGAATTCATTGGCCAAGTGGGCCAAAGAGATTCAGGATCAAGCACGGGTAACCACAATGGACAGCATGGGGATGACCAAGGTAGTTAAAATCGGGATTTTACCTAAAATCGGAAGGGGAATGAAAAATCGTAAAACGTAAAATCGTAATACAAAACGTAGATTTTACCTACACTTAAAAATTTTATATATATATATATATATATATATATATATATATTAAGAAACATTGAAAATTATTTTAAAAAAAGCTTGATCACTACATTTGTCTCAAAGGAAAGCAGAACGTTAGAAACTCATTCATAAAATTTTGAGCAATCAAAATTTATATCCACCAACTAATGTTAATATGTAACATACTGAACACTAGAAGGTTCAATCCAACAAAACACCAAGATATTATACTTACTTATTTTGCATAACAAATAAAAATTATAGGCATGGTGCATAAAAGTGGAAATGTAAGGAAAATTAAAAAAAAAAAATTAAAAACAATGTCAACTGCACCAAATCAAATATGAAGAAATAGCTTTCCATGGTTACAATACCATGTGGAACCCATTTTGACTGCTAGAAAGCTACGTCCCTCGTGTGCTAAATAGCGTTAACAAAACAGAGTTAGTGGTGATAGGATTGGAGTCGGTGGATTGAATACAATAATATAATTTAAACTACTGATAGGGTCCCATATTTCCACACTCTACAAAAACAGATTTCAACCAAAAATTATTAGAAAAACGATGTGTGACTAATCGGCGAACAGAAATGCAAATCTGGGTGAATAGCGCCAAATCGGGTTGGGGCTTCGAAGAAACTAGCTCTGACGAACAGTTTCGGTGAGAGAAAATCAGCTTAGTGGTAGCGAAAATGGCAGCTCGGGAAAATCAGCTTAGTTACGATGAAAATGGCAGCTTGAATCACTGGCAAACCAATGACAGCTTGAAATCGTTGAAGATGAGGTTGTGGTTTCAACCAGATATGGAGCGAAACTGAGTTTTGAAGAAGGCTCTGTTTGCTGTCGAACAAATTAGCTAACTTTAGGGAGGAAAAAAAGGACAGATTGAGATTTCAGAAACAAACAATTTGCTGCTTTAAAATCGGTCAGTGTTTTAAAAACGTAGAGATTTTACGATTTTACGTTTTAAGAAGACGATTTTAGCGATTTTAGTTGAAAAACGATTTTACGTGTAATCCAAATCGATTTGGCAAAAAAAAAAATCGTTAAAATCCCGATTTTACGTTTTAAATCTAGATTTTAGCTACCATGGGGATGACAAAAGGGACAGAGTCACATGTACAATGTTGAATGAACGAGAAGAAGAAAGAATGAGGAGAGTTGAAGTACCATATTTCATATCCGGGCAGAGCGATATTTCAGGAGGAATAGAATCCCTGCAGAGGAGGAATTTGAGACAGCGGCTATATGTCTGGAAGGCAAGGCTTTCAATTGGTTCCAGTGGTGGGAGCCCAGAAATCCAAAAATTGATTGGAAGTCTTTCGAACGATGATTCTTCAGAGGTTCCACATTTCGTCTTTTAGAAATCCATTTGAAGCCTTGATGAGCTTAAGGCAAACTGGAACCATGACGGAATACAGAGAGCAATTCAAAGTGTTATCTGTTCCCCTTAGACAAGCAAATGAGGGAATGATGCAGGCGGCATTCTTATTGGGCATGATCCGGACTGAAATCAGGTTGCACTTCCCCAACGACCTTGCTTAGATGATGATGATGCTAGAACAAAGGGTGGAGGAAAGAGAGAACGTATTAGGCCGAGTTAGGTCAATAATGGGAAGAAATGGGCCTGGATCTAGGGTCTCTAGTAGACAATTAGCATAACCAAGATTTGCGCTCTAGGTCTAAATGAACTAACCAAGGGCCAATCTAGAGAGAAAGGGTCACGACAAGCTGTTTGGGAATGACAGTGGTGGCAATAGTGGTGCATGAATCTAATGTGTAATGAGTGGTGTTTAGGGAATGGACAACCAAGGGAACTGCAGATCGACTGGTGGATTCACTGGATAGAGATATAGCAGTGGTGGCCAGCAGCACAAGGGAGATGAAGGCACTATCTCAAGCACAATGAAGGTGCAAAATAAGAAGTGGTCGGCTGTAATGAAGGTGGCCGCTACAAGGCTATGATGAAGACAAGCTAAAATTTACAAACGCAGAGTCTCCTAGAACGGGGGCTCTGAAAGTATATCAGTATCAAGCATAAATACTTATTGAACTAATGGTGTACCCAATAGTTCAATAACATTCATCCATATTACAAGTCCCAAGACATAAGATGAATGAACCATATTACTTTCATCAAGAGATTAATATTTATAGTAATATTATGCTAGGTTGTACATTTGCAAATCAAAATTTTAAGGTCTCACATAAAAAGGAAAAAATCTGTATGGTCTCCATATAATGAAAGGCAGAAATTTATAAGATTCATCTGTATTACAAGTAAGAACTCATAGGATGTTTGCACCATATTCAGTTCAATCAAGAGATTAATATTCATAGTATATTTTGTAAGGTTGTGCATTAGCAAATCAAAGTTCTTAGTTCTCTACTATTTCTGCATAAAAAGGAAAAAAAGCTGCATGGTCTCCAATTATGAAAAGTGCAATCAAATTATGTTCATTCTATTATCTCTATCCTCTTTCCTTCTTGTTTTCCGGATTGTGTGACATTTTATGGCTGCCTCCATAACACGAGCTCACACAACAAATTTTGAACTTATACTAACCAGCATTTATTCATATGAGACATTGCTTCTAACAAAGTATAAAATGAGATATCTTGAACATATTCTTTTCTGATACATATACAGTTCATGATTAAATTAACTTAGTTCATGATACATATTTTTAAGTCGACAGATATAATTAGGTTATTACTCACCTCTTCACTAACAAAAAAACGCAAAGTGTTGTAGTACAAGATCCGACGAGGCCCTACAAGTTAACCAAATGTGAAGAATCTGTTAATTAATAATGAATTGAACATATAGAACAAGATCAATAACATTGCCTCTGATAACATAAGTAGCAGTAAAATATGTTACATATATACTATCAGCAGTTTACTGCATTCAACAAAGAAACGAAGATTTACGGATAGGCCACTACGTAAAATCAACGATCTGCATAAACTCAACTATGGCCATTCAATGAAAATGAGATTCAGTAACAAAATACATATATAATATCTTTTACACATAGTTACCAATCTTGGATAGCATGTAGAGGTATAGCCACTACAATGAAGTCTATATAAATGTTACACTAAATTATACTACACATATAAATGAAGACATAATTAATAATCAAACGTTAATAACAGCAAAATTGCAAATTGAACAGAACAGAGTGAGAAAGTGCAAATTGAAGTACTGAATAGAGGCCGTGGCCGAAATAGGGTAACAATGTAACTGAACAAAGGCAGTGGTTGTAACAGTGGAACAAAGTGTAAACCGAGGTGTTATTGCGGAACCAAGATGGAGCAATGCCCGGAAAACCTTCTACGATGGTGGAATTTCCAAAACAGACAAAAGAGAGAGTAGGCGAGAGACAGAGAGAGTGTGCAGTGAGTTACCAAATGCGAGATAGCTCAATAGGGTTTTGTGAGAAAATGGTTGTAACGGTAACATATAAGATTAAAGGCGGTGAAACTTGGATTTTGGCCCTAAAATTTATGCAAGGACAATGCAAACACTGGAGCAGAGAGGGGTTTTTATCCTACCCTCGAAGGAGTAACACTATAGCCCGCTATTTCCCACTATTTGAACGCTATTGTGGTGGCTATACAAAATGGTAGAGTAGAAGTTTCACAATTGCAGGAGGGGGCCGCTACGCTACACCACAATAGCGATGCTATTGATAACTATGTGTATACAACAATACATTCCACTCGAAGAATGATATACCAAATGCAACACTTAAAGTTTTAAACATTAAAACAAATCATATTCCATTTTAAAAAAATAAGCATATAATCTTACTTTTAAATACCAAAAGCCCCAAGGCAGCAGTGGCCCCACATGCAATCACAGGATGTGAAGCTGCAACAAGTACACCCTCTGCAATGGAAAATTATACATAAAAATCTAAACATTAGAAACTTAATAAATTGGAAAACGAGGATCCTGTCTCCAGAAAATAAACCACAAAATACAAACCTTTGATCTTTCCAAACAAATGATCCTCGTAAGAATTGTACTGAGACTTAAGATCATCCAAAGAATGCTACACTCAACAGAAATAAAAAAGGATAACAGTTTCATTAGTTAGCTTGACAATGCACATAGGACGCCCCGTCAAAACGGACAAAAAAGCTTCAACCCGTTTCAATTATTGGAAGAAAGTGTTTAACACTTCTTGAAGAAATAATAGAACAAACCAACAGAATGCGTGATGTAATTGAATTAGATCATGGCAAATCAAATGTCTAAATGGTTCGTTCATTGTATTCTCTTTCCTAGTTATTTACTTTTTTGAAAAATTTCTCGTGAAACAGACAGAAAAAGAAAACGAGACTTTACCAAGGTGTGATGGAAATGAGCGGAAGAAATCGAACGAATTTGAGAAAAACGGGATTTTGAAGCGTCAATTGCAGATTCGACGGCATCGTCGAAGGCTTTCTGGTAGAGCAGGGCTTGCCCAACAACGTAATCAATAAACGGCGTTGTTTCATCTAGGGTTTGAGGATTGCTGATTGTGGAGTTGTTGCCAGGTGCCGGGGGTACCTCAGATTCCAATGATTCCGCTACCGTCGCCATTGGTTTACTTCACTCCCAAATGCAGCTTCTGTGCTTTGGGAAGGAGCTGTGGCTCATTTTCTCGGCTTTTTTAACCCATGTGCCCCATTTTTATGCTATTTAAAAGTTCGATCTTTTACTAAGTGAATGTTTGGTTGCATAGCATAGAAGCTGATTCATGATTCAGCTCATTGAATTTTAATACTACTGGTATTATATAAAATAATATATTATAGAAGATAGGGGTGACAATATGGGTTGAACCTTGCGAGTCAACCCGCCAAAACAGGGTAAGTTGGGTTGAGATTTTCAACCCACCAACTCACTTCAACCCGCCCCGCCTAGAAATGGGTCAAAACAGGTTCAACTCGCCGCGGAGCGGGTTGACCCGCCAGGTTATAATTTTTTTTTTTTTAACAATTAGGTAGTATTTCATTAGTCCTTAAATTTTTGTGATATTCAAAAATTTTTTTATCTTAGTACTTCCTAGAAAAAAATAAAGAATAACAATTTTATTTATGACAAATGTTATCTATATATAAATTCCTAAAGAATGTTTGACAAATATTAATATACATTTAAGATTGAGACTAAAAAAATAAAGAGAAGTGTGAAATAAAATAAAATAATATTAGAAAAATTCATAATATATAATTTATTTTTGAATTTTAATTAATTTTTTTTAATTGGCGGATTGGTGGGTTGACCAGCCAACCCACCATAAAACGGGGTGGGTTCATTTTTTCAACCCATATTTTTTGGCGGGTCAACCTGCGCCCGCCCCGTTTTTGGCGGATTGGTAGCGGGGCGGGGCGGGTCAACCCAAATTGTCACCCCTAATATAAGATAATATTATCTAGTTTTTGGTGATGCACTGTATAATACTATATAGTATAAAAATAAATATTTTTAATAAAAATATCTTTTAATAAAGAATTTATATAATTCTTCAAAAAATGTCATATGATGTTAATTTTTATAAAAATTTATTGATTAGTGTGTTCAAAACATAAATTAATTTTTATAAAAATAAAAATATTCAATATTTTAAATCAATATATTAATTTTTATTTTAATATTAATAATATATTAATTTTTGAGAATTGCACTGGTCAACGATGTTAAAAACTAATTTTTTATCAGCCTTATCCCTCCCCCTTAGGCCGGATTAAGTTATACATCATTTTGATACATTAAAAAATTCTGCTGTATAAGCTTATACTATACGATGGTCACACCAAACAACTGAAAATGTCATAACGTATAGTATAAGCTTATACTATCAAGCCTTAAACGTCACACCAAACATGCCCTAAAACTTATCATCAATCTGTTTCTTTCTGTTTGAGTGTTAATTGATTACATCATTTAAATTTATTCTAAAAGGTCATAATTTTTTGCTGCTAATTTTTTTATTCCACTTAATTTTTTAAAATCCACACGCTAAAATAATTTTTTTAATATTGGAAAGTAAAAATAAGAATAAAAATTAAATAATATCATCTCAAAGATAAAATATACTAAATGGGACACAAAGAAACATTTTTTGAAAAATAATTTTGAGTTCGTCTCAAAAAAATGTGGAATAAAAAAAATACTTGATTTGGGCATCCAAAGCCAAAGTTATGACTTTTTGAAATTTTTCAGCAAGTTTAGTGCCACATTAAGTCTTATGATACCACCAAATCCCTCCTCAAGTCCAATATTATGAGTATATGACTTTAAAAACTCGTTTAATCCAAAAAAAATTGTTGAAACAAAATTATAAGGCTCTGTTCACTGATATAATCAATTATCGTATACTGGTGTAATTAATTACATCAATTAATAGATTACATAGATATTGTAATCGGTTAAATGGGATTTTGGTGAAACAGAGACAAATTGATGTATAATTTTTTGATGAGGGCAAAGTAATAAATTTTTAATTTAATGAGCGGCAAAAAGGTCAAAAAGCCCATTTTCTCCCTCTTATTTGATAAATTGTCGTTTTATTTTATTTTTTTAAGTTATTATTTAGTCCCTTGTTGTAAGGGAAGCACATATAAAGTGAAATAGAACCTATTACACAGACATATTAGAATATGTTTCTGTAATACCTCGTGTCGACCCGATTTGTTAACATCAGAATGGTACTAAGCGCAGCTAATTAATCAAATCAATATTACTTGTGTTAGTATATGGATGTCCTAGAGACAATCTTTTGATTAGATTAGGACATATGTGGACCTTTTTATATTGTCGCAAATAAATAATAAGCACTATTTATCCTGTTTCATATTTTGTCTCGATATTATTGTTAATATATTATGAATAAACTGGATAAACCCCTTGGAATAGAACAGGTATTTCTTGAGTATCTGTGATGAGATCACGATTATGAGGATTCAAGGATACCGCACGTTTATTCCTAATTCTATGTTCCTAGTCTAGAGACACTGAGAATGGGGATTAGTGATCTCGGGTAAGACTAGCACGACTTATCTACTTGTATTTGGATACAAGGTAAAGACCTCATCTGCTACAGATATGGAGATATCTTAGCTAAAGTCGTGGGTGGACCTATAAGGGTATAACTCGTACTGAACAGACCCACAAAGAGACTTTATGAGGAAATCTCACGGAGAGTATCATTAGAGTAGTCTCTTTATATTTGGGTATGTCTTTCCTTAGACCAGAAGTTATTACTTAGACTGTATTCTAGAAGGCACGCTTTGACTGTATACCTGGTCTGCCTGAAATATGGAGACTCATAGGTACACTGTTGGGCTTGTCCTGAAAGAGCACAAGGCTAGGGTGATAAGCTGAAGGAATTCGTCAAATCTCTGTGAGAGATTAGGTTATCTGTAAACCGCAGAAATCGAGATGACATTTACAAGGACTCGGGATTATATGCATAGTAAAAGAGGTCATGAGATGATCTGCCGTTAGAGTCAGTAAATTGAAGATTCCCTATTTCGAATAAAGCTTACCCTAAACTGCAAGGGTTGATACGTTTCCTTACCCTAGGTTTAATGAGGAAGGTAACCGAGACGAAAGGAAATACATACGGCAACCAAATATGTGTAATAGGATGATTATGTCATTAACCTAACTAGCTCTAGGGCAACAAAGCATTGCTAGTGCTCTGTGTTGTCATTAGATGTATTGTGGGCTTGTTGGGCCCAAGCCCATTTATGTCAGTATGTTGGGCCTAATGGGTCACACACTAACACCTTATTGTCATGATAATATAGCATTAAAGGTATTGGGCCTAATAATGGTTGTTAGCATTAAATTAATTATCAAATATTTAAATTTTGAATTTTGAATTTGAAATTTGAATTTTGAAATTTCGATTTTGAATTTGAAATTTGAAATTCGAATTTTGAATTTTGAATTTTGAATTTTGAATTTTGAATTTGAATTTTGAAATTTGAATTTTGAATTTTGAAATTTGAATATTGAATTTAGAATTTAAATTTAGAATTTGAATGTTTGAACGTTTGAATTTGAATTTGAATTGGCTATGAAAAGTTGTTTCATAACAAAAGGATAAGGTAAGATCTTGTTAGAACAAATCCCAAGTATCAAGAGGAGATCTTTGAGCATCATCCAAGGCTGATTTGGGGCGCTGATTTTGGGGTCTTGTGATGGTCATAGGATCAACCAAATGAGCTCCAATCAGATTTGGTTTGTTGAGAGAATAAGTGAGTGAGTTGGTTCAAGTTTGAATGCAACTGCTCAACATATCTGGACTGTTTTGAGGCTGAATGGGGCGCACCATATGGCTGGCCATATAATGGTTGTTAAGTCAGATTTTTGTTGAGATATGCACTTGATATCATGAGGATATGATAGGAGGTTGTTGGCAAGATTTGATTTGCAACAACTCCACTCATTCCTCTCCTAGTGTGCGCTACATAGGGCTTATTTTTGAGTGAAGAAATCAGATTTTTATTCACTCATTCTCTCATCTCCTTTGGTCATCCATTTGTGAGATTTTTCTTAAGAGAGTTTTGAAAATTACCTAGCACTTTCTAAGGTAATTCCATGCGCCACTTTTGTGTTTTTCTTGCTGAAAATTCACTCAACTAAACACCTTGAAACCTTGCCTCCTACCTCTCCATTAGGAACGCCTAGCTTGCCTCCCTTGGTGTTCGTTGGTGGCCTTGAAGAAGAGTTCTTCCGTCTTGACAAAGGGTGGTGTGGATCAACATTAGAGGGCTTGTATCTTCAAGCCTCACCTTGATCATCTTCAAGTTTTGGAAAGAAAACAAGGTAACATCCATGTCCTAAAGCATGTTTCTTGATATGGTATGTGTAATTCCGCTTTGAAAATTTTGTTTTCATCCTCACATGCCTACGACCTTCAAGGCCATTTTCTTTCAACTTGCCCAACATGAATAAACGTGAATAATTACTTGCATGTAAAAACGTGAATAAACTTTTTCCTAAGGTTGAATCGATCATCAGAAGAAGAATTTATAATAATTACTTGCACAATAAGTTAGTTGCGCTCTATATTACTTGTTCTTCCAATTATCTTATTTTCAATTTCCATATATGATTATTTATATATTTCATGAACCTTATCTTACGATAAGACGTCCTTAAGCTTAATGCCTCCCTTTTAAAACATACAAGTCTTGATATTTATATTATCAAATTACATGCACACTTGTCATATTTGGCCATTCTTAGCACTCCATTACTTATTTTATACATTTCATACAATCATTCCTAATTCTTTCATTACCTACTCATTAAGTTAAACATGTGAATTCTAGGTACTTCACTTATGCATATTCATACATTTCTTAATACTCACATCATCGCATCTCAAAATATTTATACAAGTCATACATACCTAATTGATATTTCCTAGAAAATCACTGCATAGATTATTGTAACAACCCTTGTATGCATCAAAGAGTTTTACTATTAATCGTATTTGAGTCTTTAATTAGAGAATAAAAAGCATCTACAGTTCAAATATAAAATATATAGTGCAGATCGCTTACAATCGGAAACCTTAAACATATGCAAATCTCACCTTTCTGGCATTATTGCCATTTAATATAGTCCCTAAAGGTCCGTTTAGTATTATAAAATAATATGCAGCCTAA